AGAGAGTAACAAACATAAAAAAGGAGGGGAGATAAGGGTAATAGATGTTTGATAGGAAAGAAGAAACAAACCACATCAGAGCTCCCGCCAACCACCCACTCGGGCTAGATACATATGTGAGGCAGCGTAGTGGAATCAGGCTCTCGTCAATTTTTGGGCATATTGAGTTATTGGTATCCTCTTAAAGCTTGTTCACTTGTCTTTATTTGGAGGAAAACAATATCAATTTATCTTGAATACAAGTCAAGATATTTGCAAAAGAAGGAGGTGGGGGGTCACCTGTTTTCAGAGGTAAAATTAGTGAGAAAATGGCTGCCAAAGATTAGTTATTTCCTTCGCTTAAGAGTCCATGGTAACTGAAAATTTTATATTTTTGGTGCCTTTAATCAACGTTTTTCAGAAAAATCCACACAGAAATGAGTTCTTTAATGGGCATGAAAGGTGTTGAGCCCCCCAAAAAATAATTTTGATAAAAATTCACAAACCTGCAGAAAAATGCCAAATTCTTCACTTTGATTATTTTGACGAGAGCCTGATTCCACCACGCTGCCTCACCTATGCACTAAGAAACTGACAAGCTAAGTCGGTAGCTTGGAATTAATTAATAATGGTGTTCTCTCTTCTTGTATGTGGTATTATTGGCTTGTATGTGCGACTGAAAGTGATGACGGCTGCAGGGTGTCAGAGAAAATGACCTCCAAAGTTTGGTGAAGATCAAAGCTTGAGAGTCCTTGGGAAATGCACATTTACATCTTTTTTTTTCGTCCTTGATCAACGTTTTTCCTGTAAAATCCACACAGAAATGTGTTTTTAAATGCGCATAAAAGATGTTGAGCTCCGCCTCACCCAAAGGAAACAAACAAACAAACAAAACAAATAAAAACAAACAAAGAAAAGCTCATTCAAAATTGCCTGACAGGTGGGAAAATACCCGGTGTACTCAGTTTCACTATTTTGACGAGCGCCTGATTTCGTCGCTATGACACTCACGTTCGGCATTCTCTCAAAAGGTTAGTTTTCTTTGACAAACGTTTTCTGACCCATGTGACCATTCGACCAGCGGGTGAGCTTGTAATGGCTGGGATCCCCATCTTTCAAGTATACCACCACCTCCACCACCCCCAA